CCCACTCCCGACCCGCAGCCCCTCACCCCACACGCACGCGGCCCAGCAGGAAGGTCCCACGCGCGATGCAGGCCCCCCCCACCAGGTCAGAGCAAGCTCCCACCCCCGGGACCGCCAGCAGCCAATCAGGACGCACCCCGGCAGGGTCGCAGCCAATGGGCGCCAGAGAGGGGGGAAACCCGCCCCTCTCCTCTCCCCATTGGTTCGCTCCCTGCTCCGCCCCCTGGCCACGGACGGGGGCGGGGCTTCGGGTGACGTCATCCCCGGGGCAGGTTCTCCGCGCCCGGGATCGTGGATGTTCCACGACTGTAGGGGTTGCCGGTGACGTGACGCCACCCACGTGCAGGATGACGTAAGCAGCACGTACGGCTCTGCGGGTGCGCGTACGCCGCTGTTCCTCGGGGCACGTGCGTGCGTGGGGAGCGCGGGCGGGCAGTGCTGGTGTGCCGCGGGTGGGCGCGTGTTCCCTGAGGGCAGGGGTTGTGCCTGCCTGTGTCCGAGATGCCGGTAGCCCGCGCGTGTCCGTGACGTGGATCCCGCTGTGCCAGCGCTGGACGGAGCCGCGGACCTGCCGTGTTCAGCCCGAGCTAGCGCAGCTCCAGCCAGGTGCCTCCCCTGCCCTGGCTGGAGTCCTTCTCTCCGAGCTCCGCTTTCTTCCCCTCCCGCTTCCCGGGGAACAGGGAGGGCTCCCACTCGTGTTCAGCAAGCCAACAGAGGGCAAAGGAGCAGCCGAGTGACCAGGCAGAGGCAGAGTCGCCTCCCCCCTCCAGGAGACCCTGGGTGGACGGGGGTCGGTGGGGGTCTCTGCTGCTTCCAGCCATCCCCGTGTGCCCCTCAGAAGGCAGGGGTGCGCCTGGGCAGCAGGAGCCTGACGAGGGAGATTTGGGCTCCTTGTGGCAGCCTGGAGCTGAAGGCATCGAAACCCAGAGCGCAGGAGCAGGCCCGCCTGGCTAATCCCCCACCGCCCCTTCTCTGAGTCTGGGGCTGTGGAGTTCACTTGTAGTCCCTGGTCCTTGCTCTGCTTTGGCGGGTGACAAGGAAGAGCCCTGGAAGCCCTGAGCTTTTCTCTCCCTGGGAGGAGCTACACTGCACCCCAAAGTCACCTTTCACTTCTCTCCCTCGGGTGCTCTGCAAACCAGTCCACGCTACTCCAGCACACTTCAGGAGAGCACGGGTGGTGGAGTGGTAGGATGCCCGCTCCCATGCCGGCCTGTTATGAAGGTGCAGTGGAAACTGCAAGCCCCACTCGGTTGTTACTGGGGGCTGCTACCCACATAACCACAGAGGACTTGAGACATGGCATGGAAACCACAGGCTGCCTCCTGCACAGGACCCTCGAGTTCCATTTCCAGCCAGTGCAATATCTTGGGTCATCCATCCAGCTGCTTAGGTTCATCCATCGGCTTAGGCCACTCAGCCAGCTGCTCTCAATAAGTTAGAAGTAACAGAAAGACCAAGCAAGATGTTGGTTCCTCAGGGAAGGAGATGGGAAAGAGCTGATTTCTCCAAGGCCTTTCTCACTTCAGTTCTGTATGACTGGAAAAGGATAACGGCAGTGCCCATCGTGACAGGTGGAAACAGGAGTGATCCAGGGAATGACGGCGTGGTCCATCTGACCTTGACACTCAGGGCCTAATGTGCTACTCCAGGATCCACAGCTGCACAGCTGACCTCATGTGCCCGCCACAGCCATTTCCCAGCAAGCAGGGGGTGAACTGTGCTTGATACAGCACCCTGTGCTGCACCTGGCATAATGACACCCCCCTCTCAGTTGGGAGGGAGGCATGATGTGTGCTGGTGTCTGTCTCATTTTGGAGCCTGTGGGATGGTCTTGAGAAGCAACTTGTGTGAGTATTCATGCAGCCCAAAGGGTCCATGGTACCCCCACGGCTGTCCCACCCTCCTCAGGCATGCTTTGGGAGATGCTTACAGAGGTACATAAGACTTGCCCTGTACTGGGTCGGACCGTAGGCCCGTGTTTCCCAGTCTCTCGTGTCCCACAGCAGCAGCGAGCAGAGGCTGCAATGGAGAGTGAACAGGGTCTGAATGGACAAGGTTCTTTAGGTAAATGTGATATCTTTTATTAGACCAACTTAGACCAACATGGTTACAACCAACAACCCCAGGTTCTGACCAGGGTTTTTTCCACTCTTTCTCTCTACTTTGAGCCCCCCAGTATTTAAGGTCTAGGAAGTTTTAATTCAGAGGCTGTGCCCCTCACTCCCATGCTCAACAGCGACTGATGCCTGTTTTCTCCAAGAATGAGTCCAGTCCCTTGGTGAATCTGGCTAAACTCTCAGCTTCCCCCGCATCTGGTGGCCACGAGTCCCACACTATAATTGTGCTCTGCGAAAAGGAACTTCCGTTTCTTAGTTTAAACTTCCTACCTGCTCCTCTTGTGTTGTGGCCCCAGACAGTCGATAATAAATCCCCATTACCTTTCCCTTCACTGTTTCATATTTTATAACGCCTTCTCACATCTGCTTTCAAGCGTCTCTTTTCTGAACTGAACAGGCCTGGCCTCATTAGTCTCTCCTCAGAGGGAGGCCCTTCATCAGCCTTGTTGCCCTTCTTTGTACCTTCTCTAGGGCTGCATCTACACATGCACTTTAATGAGCCTTGGCCTATTTTAATGTGCATTAAAGCATCACTAAGAAAACCTGTGCTATTTAGTTAAAACGCATTAAAATAGGCTAATGCACCTTAAGCATCACCTAAAAACCACGCTCTTTAGTTAATGTGCATCAAGACAGGCTAATGCACATTTTCCTAGTACCTCACAATAGAGGTACTAGAGCTAATGTGCGTTAACTAAACCACATTAATGCATGTGTAGACATGGTTCCTCTTTTTCTTTTTCAAGGTGCGGAGACCAGACCTGGGCATTGTATTCAAGGTGTGGGTGTACTGTGGGTTTAAAAGAGGGGTGGGCCCTCCAGGCCATTCTATCTGGCCTGCGGGGCCCCCCCAAAATTTAGAAAACTAATATTTATCTGCTCCTGCTGCCTCTCATGCAGCCCTCGATGGCTTGCCAAAACTCAGTAAGCAGCCATCCCCCCAAAATAATTGCCCGCCCCTAGTTTATAAAGAGTATCAGGATACTTTCCGTATTTTTTACAATTCCCTTCTTCATCATTGCTAAGTTTGCCTTTTTGATGTCTGCTGACCTGATGTTTTTAGAAACCTGTCCGCAATGCCTCCCAGAACTCTTTCCTGTGGGCTAGCAGAGCCCCTCATAGTATCAGTCTAGTTGGGGTTATTTTTGCTTGTTTTTGCCCAGGCTTCCCCGAAGAGGGGCCACGAGATGTACCCACCCTTGGAGACCTGCCTGTGTTCTTTCTCTAGGCTTCCTTTTGTGAGGGTGCGCTAACACACAGGTTAAATGAATCCAGGCATCTCCTGGTGACATTTAGGCTTCCCCAGACATGCAGGAGAAAGCTGAGGTCCAGCCTGTTCTGTGGTGGGATTTTTTGGGATCTGGGAATGTCATGTAAATGTCTTATGGGAAGAATCAAGAGAGCCTGTTTATTTTTCCCCCACCTCTGAGGAAATGTCACCTCCCTGCTTCCCCTCACACATCACTGCTCAGCCTTGAGGGCTTAAAAATCCTTTTTGGGGATAATTCCCCAACCCTCCCAGGTGGAGCCTGGGGGCATTTCCCAGCTATCAGGTGGGATATGGGGGACACGAGGGGAAATGACTCCCACATGAACCAAACTGGGGGACTCTGCATAGGGACCATCTGTGTCACAGGCTCTCTTGGGGTCAGAGCCTGGATACCTGTGTTCTCACTCTCGACATGCCTTATGTGGGGGGGAGGGGGGGGACCAGCATGTAGCATGCACAGGACACACCTGCCACAAAGATTGGCCCCACTGGGTTGGAGGGGGTCACTGCTCTGCCGTACGTCACTGGCCACCCAGCTCCATGCAGTTCATCCCCCCAGTTGCATCCGTTTGAGGGCTAAGCTGCCTGGCATGGCAGGGAAAGCCAGTGCACCAGGCCCGGTGCAGTAGCCCTTTGAGTACTGGGGGTCTGAGTCAATGCAGGGAGCAGAAATTTAAAAAAAAAGTGGGGGGTGCATCTCAAGGGAATGCAGCGATCCCATAGGAAGTGGACTCAGACTGCTCTCAAAAGGCAGAGCAGGAGGATGTGAGGAAATGGCTCCTGCCTGAACCAGACTGGGGTTCCCTTTGTAGGGACTATCTGTGTCACAGGCCTGTGTCTGCACTTCTGTTACCTGCAGCAATGCTGGTTTCTCAGGGAGCACAGCAGTGTGAAATACTGCTTATGGGTGAGCCTGAGCCTTGACCCCAACCTAGCACCCCAGCACCCTGTCCCTGCTCAGTAGACCCCTCCCTGACTCCTGTGTTGACTAGGGTACAACTGGGCCCTTCCCCAGCACACCTGGGCATGAGGCTGCTTGCAATGCCCCAGCCCCCTCAGCCTGAGTGGGCAGGATCTAGTTAGAGCGGGGTGGAAGCAGAGCCAGGTTTTGCTTCTAGAGACACGGCAGGCGACCTTAGCTGGCCTGTCACCACACTCCCCTCTGAGGAAAGAGGGATTCAGGCTTCGGTGCCTTGCACACAGCCCCTCACACCCATCCATCGCCCCCAGCTGTCTCAGCCCTGGGGAAATTCAGCTGCTAAAGGGGACCTTCAGACCTACTGCATACACTCCTTCCAAGAGCAAGACCAGCCAGCCCTCCCTCAACAAGCACGAGGGTCATTCAGACATCACAAAGGTTCTTTTCTTTAAGAAAAACTGTAATATAGGGAAAGTTTCCTGACTTTGGAGCTTCTGCCGTGTTCAGGGAAGGTGAGTCTTGGCCCTTCCTGCAGTACAAGGACCCAAGGGATGAGCTGATACAACAGTGACAGGATGAAAGAAAACCTGATGCGCCCGACCTCTTGGAGTAATTACTCGGGGAGAAACCCAGAGCCACGTGGCTTTGGGACCCTTTGCAGGAAATTCCAATGGGCACAATCTCTATGCAAATGGCTCGCACACCGGGCATCTTTGATGAGAAAGGCAGGACCTGCCAAGGGGTCTCTCCCCAACTCTAACCTAGCAGAGGGACTCCTAGCTCAGAGACCCCACAAAAACCCTCAGTGCAGGGTCCTGACTGTCCATGTTTATGAGCTACATCCCAGAGCATGACCAGCTTCTATTCCCTGGCCAGGAAAGCTCCAAGTGTTGGGATCCTGGTGTTCCCACTGAAAGAGAAGAGGTTGGAGGTGCCAGTGCCACTGAGGCCTGGCAAGAGGCTCTGGCCCCTGGGCTTTTCCCACTGCACAGCTCTGGAGAAGCAGCAGACACTTGCCCTGGGAACACCACAGGCAGTTCTGAGACAAGCTGTGAAGGCAAGTGATGGGGCAGAAGTACGAGGAGAGGCTGAAACAGGAAAACCTGCCAAATTGGACTGGGAACATGGCAGCGGGTTGCAAACAGCCTACTGAGGAGGATAAGTTATAAAAGGTGGGAAAAGCAGGGTTCAGCGAGCACTATCATTATTGCTGCACTCCAGAAGCCTCACTTACTGGGATCCCGGGGCCTGGAGAGGGACAGTTTGTCAGCCTCTGCCGTGACGAGCATGGAGCTGGGATGACATGCATAAGAGTTGCCAGGTGCTCATCAGACCCAGCTGTGACGATGAAGGCCTCTGGCTGGGAGAGCACCCTGATCCACCTGGGAGAACCAGACAGCCTGGAAGCTTGATGGAGGGTGCTGGTTCCAGGAATGATCCAAGAGGGAGGAGGGAGGTCTCCCCTGGGGCACCTTTGTACCTATTTGAGGCCTCTTGTGCTCACCACGATCCTAGGCCAGATTCTCATTCCCTTTCCCTGAGCCTGGCCCCCCGCTAACTCCTGCTGGCATCCCAGCTGCAGGGGCAGCCCCTCTCTGCCTCCCATCCAACCTCAGGGTCAAGCCCCCATGCATCCTTAGTGCCTTGGGAATAACAATGGGAGGCTGAACTGCACCCCACACCAGGCGCAGGGGCTGGGGCCACAGGCAGCCCTAGGCAAGTACCCAGAGGCAGAGCTACGGCTGCTGGCGTGCGTGAAGGTGGCGGTGCCGGACCAGGCTGGAGTAGAAAACAAAGCTGTCACCACACTCGTCACAGGAGTACAGCCAGGCCTCTGAATGGCCGCGCCGGTGCCGGGCCAGGTGGGACAGCTTGATGAAGGTCTTGCTGCACTCAGGGCACTTGTGCGGCCGCTCCCGGGAGTGCACACGCAAGTGCTTGGCCAGGTCCGAGTGGGTCACACAGGTCTTCCCGCACTCAGGACACTTATGCAGCTGCTCACCTGAGTGCAGACGGCGGTGGATAGCCAGGTTGTTGGCACGGGTGAAGCGCTTCCCGCACTCTGGGCAGCCGTGGCACTTTTCCCCAGTGGGGCGCCTCGCCTGCACCTGCTTCTTGCGCTGCCCGGGTCGCGGGGAGACCCTGGCTCCTGGTTTTGGCAGCTCCAGGTCAGCAGGACCTTCCTGAGGAGGCTGCTCCTCTGCTTCATCCCGGGGCCCTGCACCTGCTGGGTGGGGAAGAGAGTGCGCAGGTTAGTCCCGGTGCTGCAGGGCAGGGAAGGCCTCCCTGCTGGCAGCACACAAGAGATGAGAGGGAAGGATGAATCGGAGTCCCATGGCTTTTGCTAACACATCTCCACAACAATGTAGTGAGGGGGCAGTGCCTCCTGGGACTCTCAAGGAGAATTTGGCAGGTGTCTCAGGGACTCCCCTGACTTGCTCTGGCCCAGAGGGGTGAGCAGAAGGGGCATTAGAGCCTGCAGGGGGGAATCCCAGGAGAGTCCCTGGGAGAGGGTGGACATGATAAGGTGGGGGGGGAAGGAGGAAGAGAAAGATCATGGGGGAGCAGGTGCTCCAGCGGGTGGGGAGCTGTCTAGGGCAGCGCAGAACAGGATGGATGGATCTGTGGTGACATAAGTCCCTGCCGAAACCTCCTGGCAGGCCGGCCAGAGCTGTCTGGGCTCAGGGACAGGGCTGGGGAGGGCAGAACCATGGCTCCTTACCGGCTCCTGGGGAAGGGCCCCGTCTGCGGCACAGGCCCAGGGAGCTCTCATCCGCTGATGAGTCCCAGGTCCGGTCCGTGTCCGAGGAATCTGCAGCAGGAAGAGGGGCAGGTGAACCATTTGGGAACCAGGCCTGGGGATGGCCTGCCCCCAAGCACGCAGGGGGCCATCGGGGCTTCGTCACTGCTGCTACACGATCATGAGGACTGTAATGGGAGCTGCCGTCAGACACCACGCAGCTCCGGTCCCAGCCCTACGCCACCCCGGCCTGGCAGTGACAGGGCCCAGACAGGTGGCAACCCGGCCCTAAGCCCCTCTCCATCACTCAGACCCAGACCCCTGCCCTCCATCCCCTGAAGCAGAGGGACATGTCTCTGCCGGGTGGTCCCAGGCCCGCTGGCTCTGTGCAGGGAATGGGCGTCCCCCATGTTACCTGACTCCTGCTGGGGCGGGGACTCCTCTTCAGGGGTGTGAGGTGGAGCTGGGCTTCCAGCCTGCCTGCGGGGCACGTGCACGGGCTGCTCCAGGCAGGAGTCTGGAGGTCCTTGCGATACCCCCAGGGGCACCATCGCAGCCACCTGCTGCTGCTCCGTGTGCACCATGACCTGGAGCGCATCCCCCGGCACCAGCTCCAACCGGTGCGGGGTCACTAGGACCGGCGCGGCCTGGGCCGGGGCCAGCGGGGCCCGCAGCACCTCCCAGCGCAGAACCGGCTCCTCCCGCGGCGTGGGCTGCACCGCTCTCGGGGACCCCCTGCCAGTCCGAGCCCGGAGGACGCGGGGGCCTGTGTCGGGCCTCCTGCTTTCCGCAG